ACTATTATAAAATTGAAAGATACCTAAGTTTTAAACGTTAGTAGGTATGTGGTTTCTTTCCTTACAACTGATCCTACAGCTAGGGCACAACAAAGGGTTACAACGTGGGGGTTCTAGAACTGGTAAAAAATAAAGCTATAAATATTAAAAAAGAACTATAGGAAGTGGGTAACGGATAAAGTAATTCCCAACCTTCCGCCCAAGTCAGTTTTTGTTCTGGATAATACTTCTTACCACAATAAGCAAATAAACCCGTCATCAAAATTCAACAGTAGAAAAGACAAAATGATGACCGGTACGTGGTTGCTAGTTCAAAACATTCCTTGTAAAAAAAATAAAACTGAGCTATAAACTCATATAAAAGATCACGAGTACCAAAAAAATATATATTACATAGACTCCGTTCTAGTTTTTCATGGTCATTCGGTTCTTCCCCTTCCACCTTACCACCCGGACCTCAATCCGATAGCAATTGTATCCTGGTCTTTAATACAAAACCATGTAGCCTTACATAACACAGTTTTGATGACTGCCTTAAACTTGTCGAGTAAAAGGTTAGCCAGATAACAGCAAAAGATTGGTTGAAAAGATATGAGCACACATGGGGAATGAGAGAAAATATATGGAACAAAACATGGATGCTGACGAATTAACTGACAGCTTCGTAATACGTGTTGGGGACAATAACAGTGACAGTGAAGATGCTAACGATCCATCTACAGACGATAGCACGTGAAGTGAATAAAACTAGTATGTTCTTATTAGTATTTTCTAAATAGTTTTAGCTAATTCTCTAAACGAGGTGAATAAGAATTTGCTACGACTAGTTAGAATATACTTGGGGTATTTGGCGCATCCTAGAATATTCTAACAACTTAGAATAAAGTAGGCCTAGAAAATACTAAGATGGTGCAAATGTTCAAAAATATCACTCGCCTTGGTGCCCTTTATTTCCACACACTACACAGGAATACCTCAGTCTAGCTTGATCTTTCTGCTAGTTACGATTACTCGCCATGTACTCGGAAGAAGAGCTGGATGATCATGTGGATGAGGTAGGGAAGAACGTTGATTGGGCATTGCTGGTAAAAACAGTTCAAAAATACCCTATTGTCTTGAATAAAACAAAAATACCATAAAAAATGCAAACAAAAACTAAAGCCTTGTCCTTATTAACGGAAAAGTTTTGCAATGTAACAGGAAACTGAGACAAAAGTGAAAAACTTATAAATAATATTAGAACTGCTTTGAAAAAGAAGACGGAAATGAAAGCTACAGGAAACAAAGCCATCAAGCTGAAAGACTGGGAAAATGAATTCATAGATATTGTTAATCGAGCGGGTGGATTACTTCGGAGCTTTTTGTAAAGTGGCTTCAACATTTTGTTGATATTGTAAAGCCAACCAAAGAGAAAAAGGTTCTCTTACTCCTTGATGGCCATTCGACGCATTCGAAGAACTTGGAGGCATTGGAAATTGCTCGAGATGCTGGTGTAATTATGCTGCAACTACCAGCACACACCACACACCGACTGCAGCCATTAGACAGGGCATTTTTTAAGCCTTTCAAAGGATACTTCACCCAAGCTGCAGAAAAATGGCTGCGAACTAATCCTGGATTAAAAGTCACACAATTCCAGATTTCTCAGTTAGTGAATGAAGCATATGGCAAAGCTGCAACAATCGAGAATTCTTCTAATGGGTTCAAGTGCAGTGGTGTCTGGCCCGTTGACTCTTCAGTCTTTAAAGATTCAGACTTTTTGCCGGCAGAAACATTGGACCAAGAAGAGGAAGGCTTGTATGAAGATCAACCTCTCGATGTAACCTCACCTAACAGTTCTACCAACTTAGACCTAACAACAAACCTAGATGTGTCAATTGAAATGATTTGTCCAATTCCCAAACCAACTAAAAAAAGGAAACTTTCTAATCTGAAGCCTACAAAGCAAACGTCAGCTATTCTAACCAGTAGCCCTTACAAAAAGCAACTGGAACTGTCTCGGGAACTGAAACTGGCAAAGGAACAGGTGAAAGAGCTACAGCTGAAAATCGGGCCTTTAACTAAAAACTCTACGGATGTGTCACTTAACCGAGCTAGCCTAACTAAGAAGTCAAAGAAATCGATTACCAAGAAACCTAAGGCATTGGGCGTTGGTCTCCTAAACCAAGCTGGGACTTCAGCGGCGAGTGATGTCATTGTCGACATGAATCCTGAAGATTGGTATTGCGCAGTTTGTGAAGAAAGTATAATAGAGGACATGGTGCAGTGCTTGATTTGCAAGAAATGGGTCCACGAAAGCTGTGCCGGATCAAAGGCTAAGATAAAGAAATATGTGTGTTCAATTTGCAGTAGTTAGGCTAATAAAATACAAGCCAAAAGTTAAAAATTAATTTTTACATGTAAACATATTTTCTTTTTTATTAAAATAGAGTGATTGTGTTAATAGATTATCTTCTTAAGAAAAGTCTATTCATAAAAAGTTGTTTTATTCAATTTTTTGTCAACTAACATCAGAAAATATTCCAAATGATATCTCAAATATGTATATTGCCTTTGAATTGTGTAAAAACGTTGTGTTAATAAATAGTTTTTTTTAGTTACTCATGCTAATTTATTTTTATCAACTTATTGTCAACTTTACCAGGGTGGTACGATTTAGGATATATGAGGTACGATTTAGGAAACCGGTTGCTTAAATTGTAACGATTGCATAACTTTACAAAAGCTGTTTTAACTTAGCCAAATATCATAATATTATTTATTAAAAATTAGTTTTACTTGGCTAAATAACCAATACTTTTCAGGGGAATGTTATTTTGGCTAAGTGTTTAATGGTAGAGTATATAAAAAATAAAACGTAAAAAGTGGTACGATTTAGGCAACCTTCCTCTAGCTGTTAACAAATACGTTATAAAAACCGATATATAATGATAACTTTGGATTATTAGAACAAAATCCACGACAGAGCAAGTGCAAACACAGGTATGAGATACTGTACTACTGCACCCGCCTCCCGCCGCTACGTCACACCGGCGCGATGGGAGGAGGAGGCTGAAATCACTTTGCGAGCGCTAGTGGGTTAGGCCGCACATTGAAGCGAGGCGGGACAGAGGTTTCCTAGCTTTGGTCCTACAATGTCGCGATTGGAAGAAGATTTTTTGGATCTTGAATCAGATTCTGAGTGTGAGTTTAACAATTTAGTTTTACTCTATTCACTATCCAAAAAACGTAAAAAAAAGTTTTTGGAATGCGATTACATGAAAAAAAGAGTAAGCCACGGAGAATATGTGTTGACAAATGAACTGTCAGACCGGTCTTTTCGAGAATATTTTCGTGTGAATAAACAACAGTTTGATGATATACATCAGTTGATTGAAAGTGATATTAGTGGAATGGGATGTAATGCTCAACAACCTATAGATTCCCAAGAAAAGCTAACAGTGTGTTTAAGGTAAGCTTCAACTAGTCTTGTAATGTAAAATTATAAATAACAACATACAATTAAAAAATAACAACATAGTAATATAGTTAATGATAACAAAATTCATAGTTCGTTTTAATTTCATAATAATGTTTCAATAGTTTTACTTGTTTTTTTTTGTTTTATTTGTTTATCAATAAGCCTGATCCACGTAATCGGGGACATTTAAATTGACTCTGAAGATAGCAGATATCAGATTAGTAAAGATAATAGTATACAAATTCCAAGCTAATTTTCAGCTGTCTTTCTGCGAAGCTCCGATGATGTCTCGGTGCTTCTGGACTTGACCGGAAACCAGAGCCCTGAGCAAAAAAACACCAGAAGTTACATGATAAAAAATTACAACATCCACCGGATTACCTGTTTAACATCTTCATTACCTGTTTTATTTGGCACAAGGAGGTATACAGTTTTGCTGTCATAAGTGATTACTTGAAACACAGCAAAAACTCAGTGTTTGCTTTCATGAAGGCTACTATCGGTTTTAATGGGAAAATAACCATTATAAATAAAAATTTAAAAAATATTAAACAATACTTTCTCTATATATTATGGTATAGGGGAAAAAGTAAATGGTATTTTATTTTGGCATTTTGTGAACGAGAGATCTGTATAGGTTTAATAAAACCCCCGGAAAAGAGTTAAAAACTTAATTTATTACTGTTATAACTGTACGACTGTTATAACTGTATTAATGTTTTTTTACAGAGTGACAACCAGCTTTCGATCGACTGCCTCTCTGACTGCTGCATCAGCTGACGATGGGAGTGGCACTTCTCACACTGAAACGCCCGTTGAAAGAGCTTTGGATGAATACCGAATATCGAGTATCCGGTGAGGCCGTAGAGCCGAATTTTGGCGGCCAAATATTCTGCCCCTGTTATATATTTTTTATGTTTAGGTTTAGCTATTACTTATAGAAAAGTCACAACATGTCTCTTTGTAATAGTGATGGGGAGGGTAAAACACATTGCACCATCATTTAAGTTGTACATCAGTTTCAGCAGTGGTAGCCATATTGGATTTTGGTCCCATGAAAGCAATGTTAACTTTGTAACAGAATTTGTAAAAAAACCTGTTGTGATAAAATATTTATTGAGGTGCTAAGATTAAGGTTTAATGGTCCTCTAGGGAGTGAGGACCACTAATTAAGCCTTTAAAACCTACTTTCCGTGTCCGGAAATCAGACTTCGCTTTTCCAAAAAATAGCTACCAATATGGCTTTGTCACATTCGTTTTTAAAAGATCATCTAATGTGCAATACAGCCCGCCCTCGCTAGTCCGACGCTTTGAAATCCGACGTACTCGGTAATCCGACGCGCCGTCAGGCGCCGCTACGGGAGCAAAAATAAGCATGCAGTGACATGAAACACTGTGACTCACGTCTCGTTGCCGACGGAGCCCTTCCGTTCAGTGTTCAGTTGACTTTCGAGACGTGCAGTTCACTTTTCCGTTGCAGTCGTACCTTTGTTAGTAAGTGCAAGTGTTCGTGTACAGTACAGTACAGTAGTTGTGTGAAATGGCTAGTACAAGTGGTGTTAAACGGAAACACAAAACTTTAACAATATCGGAGAAGTGGGAGATTATTAAAAGAATAGATAGCGGTGAAACGCCGACTGCAGTAGCGAAATGTTATGACATCGGACGGCCTACGATCTATGATGTAATGAAGAAGAGAGAAAAAATTGAAGGGTTTATGAAGTCTGTTGAAGACGACGCTTTAAACAGGAAAACACTGAGAACAAGCGAGTTTCCTGAGGTGGAAGAAGCACTGTTCATTTGGTTTAAACAACAACGCACACGGAATGCTCCTATTTCCGGAGACATACTTAAACAAAAAGCGCAATATTTCTACACAGAAATAACAAAGAAGGATGATTTTCGAGCTAGTCATGGATGGTTCGAAAACTTCAAAAAACGCCATGGTATACGGTTTATGAAGATGAGTGGTGAAAAGGTATCTGCTGACAAGTCTGAGATTGATTCGTTCATTGAAATGTTGGACAAAAAAATTACTGAGCTTGGTTTAGTTCCCGAGCAACTGTACAACGCCGATGAAACCGGGTTGAATTGGCGACAGCTCCCGGCAGAAACATTTGTAAGTGATGAGGAAAAAAAAGTGTCTGGAAGGAAATTGCAAAAAGAACGACTCACGCTTATGGTGTGTGCTAATGCATCAGGCACTCATGCTTTAAAACTGCTTGTTGTAGGAAAATCAAAAAACCCTCGAGCATTCAAAAATGTCAAGGTTGAATCTCTGCCAGTAACTTACAAGTCACAAAGTCGCGCTTGGGTCACAAAAGAAGTTTTTCATGACTGGTACACTAACAGCTTCGTTCCACAAGTTAAGGCTGAATTAAAGAAGAACAAGTTACCAATGAAAGCCCTTCTTTTACTGGATAATGCGCCAGGACATCCTGATGCTGATGAATTGAAAATCAAAACTGCTGATGGCTACATTGAAGCTATGTACCTACCAAAAAATACCACAGCTTTAATCCAGCCCATGGATCAAAATGTGATAAAAACTCTGAAAGCTCACTACAAAAAGCGCATTCTTATGGATGTTGTCAGTCAACCTGATGCTGATATTGCAGCGATTTTGAAAGCTTTCAACATTAAGGACGCCATTTTGAATGTTGCATATGCTTGGCAACAAGTAAAAAGCACAACTTTGATCAAATCTTGGAAAAATGTATGGCCTAACAATCCATGTCTTACAACATGTAATCCTACATCCAGCAGCGACCCAGAACCCGTTTTGGAGGCTACATTGGAACTTTGTAACGAAGTGCAACTTGCCCCCGCATCAGTTGAAGAGCTTAGGACATGGATCATGGAGGACAACCTTGATGCTGACGTGACAGACGCAGATATAATCCAAGAAGTTACAGCAGCTGATGACGACGTGATCGAGGACGCAGCGCCAGAAAAAACCTTCACCGTCAGCTGTGATGACGCTGTATCGGCTGCTAATACTTTGTTACGTTGGTGCCAAGAGAGAGATGTGGACATGACAAAAGTTTTAGTTTTAAAAGGATTGCAAGAAGCAGCAATGATGGACTGTGTACAAAAAAAGAAGCAGAAGTCAATCACAGACTTTTTTAACAACTAAATACCGTGCTGAAACACGTATGTATTAATTTTACAGGGGCCTACTTTTTTAATGAATTGTGTACTGTAGGCCTACTTTTATGCGTATTTTTTGGGATGTACGTACGGTACTGTTTGTAAATACTGTAAAATAAGTTTAGCTACATAAATTAAAATTGTGTTTACTTTATTCTGTGTTTTTAATTCTTCCCAAGAATTTAATAGTGATTAATATATTGTTTAAAATGATAGTTATATCTTGTTGGCAATCAAATGCATTACAGAATAGCCATTTTCGATAATCCGACGTTTTTGAAAATCCGACACTGCGTCAGTCCCGTACCTGTCGGACTAGCGAGGGCGGGCTGTACTGGTCTAGGCGTGGGCAGATCAGCAGATGGCCAGGATCCTGAACAGCACCACACTCACACAAGATATTTTCTTTGTCTGGTAAGAGACCCCATTTCTGCATGTTTGTCTTGCATTTTGGTACCTGACTCTGATTCTATTTAGGGTCTTCCACACCGTGTAATGCAGACCTCCACCCAGGCCAGTTCCTCCTTGGCTGGTATGGGAGGGTTAGTCAACGTGGCCTCCCACCTTGCCACCCGATTGCTTGAGAGTGATCCATCCAAGACTCGTGTCCGTGATAAAAAGCTCCATGGCTGACTTCACAATCGGGCGCACCCCGGGCAACGCTGACATCTCAGCGGCAAATCCTTCTACAACCGGAGGACTTCGAAAAATAGCTCATTAAGAAAAGAAAAAATAATAATAATATAATTTCCTCATTCCCTAGTAATTTATGTTACAAACCTAATTATACATTTTCAAAACTATATCTTTATGAATAACACAGGGATGCTACTTCAAATGATGGTATGATCTGTCAAATTTAACATTGATCTTAGGATTAAAATCCAATATGGCTACCACTGATGAAGTAAGAAGCCTTCGGATTAAGTAAGAAGTCAATATTGTACTAGTTTACGCAAAAGAACTAAAGTGTCAAATTTAACTTAGTATTTTTTATACTGTTTATGTGTGTGTGACTGTGTAGTGGAATGGCGTCAGAACATAATAGATCTCTTGTTTGGAAGTACTTTGACATTGATAAACACGGCAAAAGGTTCGCTTTGTGTTTTTTGTGTTAAATAAATGTTGGTGCTTGTAATTATAAAAACCGTTTCAAGTAACCGAATATTCGTTACAATAATGGCGCAGTGGAAGCGGCAGATGGAGACCAGTAAGGAATTGTCTGAGGGTACTGAATCACGAATAAATGAGCCGAATGCAACAAATGATAAGCCCGAAAAAAGAATAAAAAATTACAGCTAAGGAAGAAAATGTCCAGGAAATCAAATCTGGACGTGAGGAGCAAGGCGTAATTATGAAGGATCTATTTTCTATGCATCAGTTTATGTTCAAGAGCATTCGATCGACTTTTTTAAGAGTAATCAGAAGTCGTCAAAACACTTCTCCGACATATTCAGGCAGAGAGTCGTCTTGAGGTTTGTCAGTTAGTGCCTGAAATATAAATAAGAGCCATATTTCTTATTTTCCATATTTCCATATTTTTATATAATCAGAAGGTGTTTTAGACATACCACGTCCACAGTTTACTAGTGACTGCGGCTTTCACAACACTTACCTCAACTCTCCGGTTGCCTTTGTGTAAACAGTCAACAAACAATCAGCCCAAAAGCTGCCATCCTATGGAATTGCAAGACTCAGCCAATACCCAATTGAGAATTTGTTCGGTGTTCTGCGCCATTGAGGAGGTTACAACAGCAATCCATCTGCAAGACAGTTTAGGCGAAATTTGCAGCATGTCATGTCAATATGCCTTATGAACCCTCCTGGATCGGCCAATTGTGAACCGGACTGTGACGTAACTCTAGATGTAGAAGGGCATGTAATTGGAGATGCAACAAATGAAATGTTAGACGAAATCCACGAAGCAACAGACGACGTCACTGGGCGTACTCTTCTGACTGGAACAGAACTATTCCCCCAATAGAAGTTCTTGGTAAGCAGTCAATAATGAACTGAACAATTATTGTATAAAATATATATCATTTTGACATAAACTAATAAATAAATAAATCAATTAATAAATATAGCAATTTAAAACTTTCTTTCTTAACTTTTTATTTGATAATACGTTTATTTCAAATTTCACATAAATAATCCATTTACATGGCATCTAACAATTCGTAAAAGTTTAGTGTACTCAATACACTTAGCGCTTCTAAATATGTACTATCGCCAATTTAAATAGATATCATAAATATGTAAATTTGAATACATTTTATTTGGATAAAATTTAGCTCTTATAGTGAAGGGAGTAATGGCTTTTACAGGAGAGTAATGTTGTCTCCGGGTTTAAATATAATGAAAACTGTAGCCGTGTAACCCCACAAGATTAACGCAGATACCCAATTTATAAAGACTCTTTATCAGAGTAAATATGATTTCATATCTTTCTCATTAATACATAGTATATATTTTGAGTCTACTTGGTATGGGGCATTATTAGGTTATGGTCATTGACATTTGCATAAATATAATCTTCTCAGCAATCGTGGTTATGCTGGTAGGTCGCTTAATGCACAGGGTTGCTGCGACAGGGGTGTTTACTAATTAACGTGGCATATACAAATTTGTTAAAACACCACTTGAAAATGCATAGATAGGACAATGTTTATCATAGGTGAAATCGTTGAAGTGTACACTTTATTTGTAGATGAAACACCCCAGATCACCATGCCGCAGGCTGTAAATGAAGCATCCACTGACACCTCACCCATGGAGGACAACGTCATCATGAATGTTGCTGTGTGGTTGGCAAAAAAGGCAATTGATAAATTTCACTGCAGCGATGGCACTGAACACATTTCTCGTGCTGAACAATCCTTAGAACCGCCCAAAGACTTCTTAATTCGTATGAGGGCGTTCACGTGTCATACAGGAGAATTCGCAAAGCTAAATCATCCTTTAGCTGGTTTGTTTTTAACATTGTGCGTGGCCAAGTCGTGTGCTTTTCCAAACTGTTCAAAGAGCACGCAGCTGAGAAGAAACTTCATTTCAGTCTTGTTCAAAAAATAAGTGAAGAGACTGGACGAGTTAATGTTGGCCGGTTCACCGGTTCCCTTCTCAGTGTCGAGATCACCGAATGTTCATGTTATCAACCCTCGTAAAATGCAAATTGTACTACTCGGTTGAGTGGAAATCTCAAGATCTAAGAGACAGGACTCTTTTAAATACGTCTAAGCGACAAAGCAGTGTGAAAGACAAGGGATATAAGCTGAACAAAAAGCTTAAGAAAGTTCAATACGTATAAGAAGTGGATACATAGGGCTGCTGGTGAGTGACGTCACAAGAGCCATGTGGTGCTTAATTGACGGTTAAGCATATGGTGGTAATGGTGCGTGACCTAGCACGTGGTGTGGTGGGTTACGGCATGGTGACGTCATGATGACGTGTTAGGGATGTTGTGGATCGATATGTTCAAGGTAAAGGGATAAGTACCGATATGCTGATTTTTAATTCTTTATTGAAAATCAAATTTAGATACAAGGATTATAATTGTTTTGAAAACTTAAACCGGGACGTAGGAAGTGGTGAAGGAAGTAGTCAAGGTGAGCTGTCCGGAGTGTGGGAACTGTTTATGACGATTAGATTAAGGTATCTGCAATCTTAAAATGCTATTGGAAGGGAAGGAAACAGGTCCGCGACGTAGGAAGTGCCGAGGTGGTGAAGTAAGTATTAAAAGCGAGCTGTTCAGGGTGTGGGATCTGTTTATGTCCATTATATTAAGGTATTTGCAATCCTATGATGCTATGGGAAGGGAGGGAAACCGGTCCGTGACGTAGGAAGTGGCGAAGGAAGTAGTCAAGGTGCGCTGTCCGGAGTGTGGGAACTGTTTACGACGATTAGATTAAGGTATCTGCAATCTTAAAATGCTATTGGAAGGGAAGGAAACAGGTCCGCGACGTAGGAAGTGCCGAAGTGGTGGAGTAAGTATTAAAAGCGAGCTGTTCGGGGTGTGGGATCTGTTTATATCCATTATATTAAGGTATTTGCAATCCTATGATGCTATGGGAAGGGAGGGAAACCGGTCCGTGACGTAGGAAGTGGGGAAGGTAGTAGAAAAGGGAAGCTGTCCGGACTGTGGGAACTGTTTGTGACGATTAGATTAAGGTATTTGCAATCCTATGATGCTATGGGAAGGGAGGAAAACACGTCCGCGACACCGTAGGAAGTGGTGAAGGAAGCAGTCAAGGCGAGCTGTCCGGAGTGTGGAAATTGTTTATGACGGTTAGATTAAGGTATATGCAATTCTAAAATGCTATGGAAAGAAAGGGAAACAGGTCCGTGACGTAGGAAGTGGTGAAGGAAGTAGTAAAGGCGAGCAGTCCGGAGTGTGGGAACAGTTTATGACGATTAGATTAAGGTATCTATAATTCTAAAATGCTACGGAAAGGGAGGGAAACAGGTCCGTGACGTAGGAAGTGGTGAAGGAAGTAGTAAAGGCAAGCATTCCGGACTATGGGGAACTGTTTGTGACGATTAGATTAAGGTATCTGCAATGCTATAATGCTATGGCAAGGGAGGAAATCCCGTCCGCGACACCGTAGGAAGTAGTGAAGGAAGTAGTCAAGGCGAGCTTTCCGGAGTGTGGAAATTGTTTATGACGATTAGATTAAGGTACCTGCAATTCTAAAATACTATGGAAAGGGAGGGAAACAGGTCCGTGACGTAGGAAGCGGTGAAGGCAGTAGTAAAAGCGAGCAGTCCGGAGTGTGAGAACTTTTTATGACGATAGATTAAGGTATCTGCAATCCTTAAATTATGGGAAGGGAGGAAAACTGGTCCGTGACTTAGGAAGTGGTGAAGGAAGTAGTAAAGGCGAGCAGTCCGGAGTGTGGGAACTTTTTATGACGATAGATTAAGGTATCTGCAATCCTTAAATGCTATGGGAAGGGACGAAAACTGGTCCGTGACGTAGAAAGTGGTGAA